GGCCATGGTGGAACACTCTGCCGATATGCTAACCTCCTGGTTGTCGCGCGGGTGCCCCTGAGATCGCGATCGGCGTCGTCCTTGAACGCGGGGTTCCCAAGCTGCTGGCCATCATGATGGGCGTGCCGATCTTCAGGGGGATCAGCGACACGTGGAATACTTTGCGCACTCTGCCCCCCCTGCCAGCCAGGTCGTGCCAGATGTTGTTTCCACATCTCAACCGTGGGGTTCGAGAGTGTCGGTGTATTGTAGAAGCGTCTGCCAAGCCCCGCTGTTGTGGTTGCCAGTCGCCAAGATGGTCTATGCACCAAGCTATAATCCTTCTGCTGCCGCGCATTACGTTTCTGCTCACCCATGCCCTCAATCTGCGCATATTGGTATTGCTTTTTGGCCTCATGTAATTCTTTGGTGAGTCGCCGAAGTTTCGGCTGTGCCGTCGTGAGCTCCGTCATATCTGCACCGTTGCCGGGAGATCCCAATCTTTCCCTGATAACTGCACGCCGTCTATCAAGTTCCCGTTGTTGCTGTCTCGCCAGTCCATAGTTCTGATCCTCTTCTGAGTATCGCTGACAGCACCTGAGCGCGATCTGCTGTATCTCACCAATCATGCACTGCCGAGCTTCGTCGGGCGTGGCGTACTCCTCATACTGCTTCCATCTGGTGAGCGATTGATTGCAATGGTCCTCGAACTCTTTCAAGAAACGCTCCGGCCACAGCCTGTCGACTACTCCTCAAACCAAAGCGTCGATGTTTCACTGAATGCGCGGAGTACGGCCCCCTCTCGAACAATCCAGGATATATCTCGCTCGTACTTGTAGTGGGTCATGATCCCATTTGCGCTGCACTGGTGCCACCTGAAGTTGTCGCCCCCGCTTGTTCAAGATGCAGGAATCCACTAAAATACTCAGCCACGCACGGGGCACGCCCAGGTAGTCAATCCTTGAGCTCGCCGCGCCCGTAGAAGGTGTCATGACCACCAGTGAAGGTGTTGGTCAGACTCAAGTCATACTGTTCCATGAAATCTCTCATCTGCGTCATACAGCGATGCTCCTGTTGGGGTCGCAGCGGCCCAACAGGATTATGTTCATCAGGAGCAGCATTCGGCACCGTGATCCCCGCACAGTCAGTGTTATCTCCTCCAAAAACACTGGAACACCTATTGGGTTGGAGCCTACACACCTGATCCATCCATGAAATCATTTACGCCACTGTCTTCTTGCACACGATCATATCTTTAACCACTTTCGGTCGGACGGGAAAATGAGCGGCACTCAATAGCTTGTAGAAACGTCCTGATCTGAGTTCAACTGCTCCCAGCCTTCCTTGAAAGCCTGCGGGGGGAGAATGAGTTGCCGCTATAGGACACATAATCGAAAGAGTCGCCGTCGTAATCTTATCTGCACTCCAGCGTGGGATGCGACATGCGGTCCTCTCCCATAAACCCAGTTGAAGATGTGTACGTGTGGGCTCGAAATGCTCGTGCACTGCCCATATGTGTGTCGTCTTCTTAGTCGGGTTCCAATCAAAAACGCAGAATATTTGGTCTGATACGCCTCACTGATCCGCATTGCTCTTCCACCTTGCACGAGGAAGGTGACGTTATGCACAACGAAGGAGAGAGGTGCATGCATGGCGGCCGCGCACGCCGTGACTGAGAGTGCCAGTATGGAGAGGTACGGGAGCGCGGGGTAGGGGAGAACACACATCCCTGGGGCCGCGCAGGGTGTGTCAAGGGACCTGTGCCAGGCGGCTGGAGGAGGAGGAGAAGGAGGAGGAGGAGGAGGAGGAGGAGGAGGAGGAGGAGGGGGGAGGGAGTGCAGGAGTGGGAGTAGAAGTAGGAGCAGGAGTCGGAGGAGGAGGAAGAACAGAAGAGAAAAATGATAAGGAGGAGGAGGACGAACGGAAGGAGGAGGAACAGAAGAAGGAACGGAGGGAGGAGGACGAAGAGGAGGAGGAGGAAGAGGAGGGGGAGGAGAGGGAGTATAGGACGAGGAGGGGGAGGAGGAGGAGGCGGAGGAGGAGGAGATCGCTGGCGCCGTGGAGCACCGCTCTTTGAAACGATCCCTACAATCAACGTACAGAGCAAGGACGCACGACAAGGATGCGTGGGCCTTGGAAAGCCATGCTGGCACTTTGCGCGCGGGGCGCGGCCGGCGAGAGCGGCCACAGATGGGCCGCAGGGGCAGGATGCGAGGGCGCTTTTTGGAATACCGCACGTTGTCCTTACTGTGCGGGTTGACTGCATCCCCACTGGCAGCCGCGTTGGTCGACTTACCCCTTTGTAGGAAACGCGCCCAGGGTCAAGCACGGCGTGGGGGTGCAAACCCGCCTTGTCCGGCTGATGCTCTGGGGAAGGCCTGTGCTCAGGGGAGCTGCAGCACCTGTCCACGACGTGTTGTCAACCGAACCTGCACGATGGGCCCTCTCCACTACTCTGTGCACTTCAGCTTTGGCTTCGGCCTCGACTGTGCGTGCACCGTGGAGCGCCTTCGGCCCGGCTGACCCGAGTTGTTTTTCCGATCGCATGCGTGCCCCCCCCCCTCCCTTGAATATGGGCACACATGTTGTTCCGTTCGGGTTTCGTGGGGACGATCCCCATCTTTGGGGGGTGGGCTGACGGAGCTGAGATACCATGGCCCAGAGGGGATGGAGATCGGTCGAACGATTTTGAGCCATGGCCATAAGAGTTCCTGGCAAGATCGATGGTCGAGGGTACTAGGCATCACTGGGAACTCTCCTCGCCACGGCCCGGACACAGCTCGGAACACCGGCCGGGATGGATCCCAGGGTGGGGCCCAAGGGCCGATGTGGAGCGGACTTGGGTGAAGGGAGAGCAGAGGAGGACTCTATGATTTTACGCGGTTTCGGCTCTCTTTGGCCCTGGGTGCCTCTGGAGGTCGCCCGCCGTCGTCGTCGCCGTCGTTGGCGGCGTCGCAGTCGCGGAGACTCAGGATCGGTGTTCGAGGATTGAAGTTCTCGGGTGTTCGTGGCCCCGTTTCTGTGGCCTCTGGATGTCTCTGGAGGTCATCGCCGGCGACGTCGTCCAGCCGAGGGGACCGAGGATCGAGTATTGAGGTCGAAGAGATGTTCGCGCGGTGAGTGCTCTTTTTTGGCCTCTGGATGTCTCCGCGAGTCGTCATCGTCGTCTTCGCCGCCGCCGCCGCCGCCGTCGTCGTCGTCGTCGTCGTCGTCGGCGTCGGCGTCGGTGTCGGCGTCGGCATCGGCGTCGGTGTCGTCGTCGTCGTCGTCACCGAGGACCGAGGATGGACCTGTGCGAGCGTTTCTGCGCTTCTGCATCTCTCTGGGCCCCTGGAGTCCTTCAGAGGTCGTCGTCGTCGTCGCCGTCGCCGTCAAAAGAGATCGGGGATCGAGGATCAAAATTTCGCTTCGGGCGCTCACGGCAATTTTCCCAGCCACTCTGCGTTGGGTCCTCGCTTTGAAGAGAGAGGGCCCCGCCACCGAAAGCCCCAAAAGCAACGTCCACATGGCGGCGTCACACCCGTTTCTGCACACACCCTTCACATGTGATGGAACTCCACCGAAGGCTCCAATGGCACATGGTGGCGCCACGCCCGTTTCGACACACCCCTCACACGTTTCGTCGCCCCATAGGGAGCTCCCCCGAAAACTCCACTGGCAATGTCCACATGGTGGCGTCACACCCGTTTCGGCAACCCCCTCGAACGTTTCGTGGCCCCAAAGGCAGCTCCACTTGAAACCCCAATTGCACCTTTCACACTGTGGCATCACACCTGTGTCGGAAAACGCGTCGCACGTTTGTAGGCCCCATAAGAAGCTCCACCTAAGGCCCCAGAGGCGCCGTTCACATGTGGGCGTCACACCCGTTCCGGCACAACCCCCAGATGTGTCGTGACCACTCAGGGAGCCCCACCCTAGGCCCCGATGGCACCCCGTTCGCATGTTGGCCGCCACACGTGGTCGCTCTCCTCGTCGGCGTCCTCCTTCAAGGACTCCTCCTGTTCCTCCTCCTCCCCCTCCTCCCCCTTCACCTCCTCGTCCTCCTCCTCCTCCTCCTCCTCCCTCCTCCTCCTCCCCCCTCCTCCTCCTCCTCCCTCCTCCTCCTCCTCCTCCTCCTCCTCCTCCTCCTCCCCCTCCTCTTGCTCCTCCTCCTCTCCTCCTCCTCCTCCTCCTCCTCCTCCTCCTCCTCCTCCCGCTCCTCCCCCTCCCCCTCCTCCTCCTCCTCCTCCTCCTCCTCCTCCTCCTCCTCCTCCCTCCTCCTCTCCTCCTCCCTCTCCTCCTCCCCCTCCTCCTCCTCCTCATCCTTCGTCGTCGCTCTCCTTCTCCTTGGGGGGCCATCTCTTCCCCTGGGCCAGGTGCCACACTCCGTCGCCGCTTCATGCCTCCCCCCTGCGCTCGCCTCGCGCCCGTCTTCTCTCCCTCATCCATCCTCCCCCTCTCCCTGCTCCTTCTCCTCCCCCTCCTCCTCCTCCTCATCATCATCCTCGTCCTACTCCTCCTCCCCTCCTCCTCCTTTTCTTCCTCCTCCTCCTCCCCCTCCTCCTTTCCCCCCCTCCTCCTCCTCCTCCTCCTCCTCCTCCTCCTCCTCCTCCTCCTTCTCCTGCTCCGCCTCACCTCACCTCCCTCCTCCTCCTCACCTCCCTCATCCCTCTTCCATCCTCGCTCCGCCTTCCTACCTACCGCCACGTTTCTATTCCGACTGACCCTCTTTCCTCCTCCTCCTCTGCTTTTCCTGCTTGTCTGGTAAATCCTTCTCCTCCTCCTCCTCCCCCTCCCCCTCCTCCTCCTCCTCCTCCTTCTCCTCCTCCTCCTCTCGTCCTCGTCGTTATAATCCTGATGCTTCTTTCCTTTCTCCTCTCCTCCCTCGTCCCTGTTCCTCCTCCTCCCTCTTCATCCCTCTTTCCATTCCCTTCTGCTCATCCTCTCTTCCTCCGCCTTCTCCTTCTCCTCATGAAACCCGGCCTCCTCCTACCCCCCCTTCGCCTCGGCCTGCTCCTCAACATCAGCAGGTAATGGATGTCTTTTCGGTCGCTTGCGTTGACCTCAGAGAATGGTGGCCACTGCGATTGGCATCGAATGGTGATAGCATCGTCATGCAAATGGGTCAGCCATCCGCTGCATCCTGGCTAAGCTTTGGAAAATTTGGAAGAGCATGCCGAGGGATACGATACCACCGAGGGCAACGTACACGTTCACCGCTGCCTCCTGTGGATCATTCTTCTTGGAGAACGGGCTGTCTTCTGGATCCTTAACCAGCTTCTCCAGAACCTTTGTGTCAGGATGGTCCTTCCCACGCGCCACCTCGGGGAACAAACGCATGCCGATACCGCTGCTCCTTGGACCTATCGTGGTGTGCGTTCTGACCATGACTTGGAGGCGAATCGTGCCGTGGCGACCAGGGCCTTCCAGGGTGCCAGCAGCAAACGAAAACGAGAGAGGGGCACCAACGTCGATATGCCTTCGTAAGGGTGGACCAGGGCCAAAACAACATCGGACCGGGAAACATCGGGGAAACACTGCGCCCCGGCAATTCTAGAAGATGTACCGTGCCGGGCGCTGCGACCGTTCCAGAGCGCTCCGGTACTCGTGCGCTCTGAGAGCGTTCCAACTCGTTCTGAAACGATTTATCCTGGTCATCATCCGGCCCGAACATGTCTTCCTCCCCGTCCACCAGCGAGTGCTGGTACGCTTTCCGGACCCACCCTGTTGCGAGGCGGGGATTTATCCACACCCATCGGTCGGAAGAAGTAGGTAGGAACATGAAGTAGGACGGCGTTGAAAAAGACGTGTCCGCCCGCCCCGTAAAGAGGACGGAAAAAGTGAAGCCACTCGATCACTGAATCAGGGAAGCGCCCCAAGTAGATTGGAAACTGGGACTCCGAAAATACCTACTTTCAACGACCGATGGGTAACCACCGCCTCGGAGATCGATCTTCACGAGCCCCGGCAGGCGGTGGACACGGACATATTCGGGCCCCAAGGGGGGGCTACACATATCCAGATCCACCGCCTGCCGAACGCCCGGGGGAATGACCTCACAGGCGGTGACTATGGTTGGGAGGTCCACGGTTTGCTCGGGACTGATCTCCCCCCAAAACGACCAACACCTTTCTCAAACCGTATCTGAACCCTCCGAGAAGCAACCCGGCAAGCAACCTGGAAGCCTTCAAGGAGGGTTTTCGGAAGGCTTCGGGTGGGTGTGCGTCGTTTGGAGGACAACCAGTCCCAACCGAACCCTCGACCTCCTAAGGCTAGGGCCTGTCCCCCTGCAGGGGGATTCTCGATGAAAAATAAAACATGCTCAACAAATAACCCCAAAATAGTCCAGAAATTGTCTGGGGAGTATTTGTTGACTATGTTTTGACCTTTTTGGGGTATGTGTAGGGTATTTTGCATATTTTTCGTCGAAAATCCCCCCGTAGGGGGACACGCCCGACTTAATCCTAAGGCTATAGATCAATCCCTGCCTCGAACCTTTCGCCCCTGCCAGGTCGTCTGCCTTCAGCGACAACACAAACGCGGCGTAGCACGCGTCGGCTCGGATGCTCTTCGGGCCGAGCGGCGCCCGGTCGTACAGCTCGAGGAGCTCGGCGGCCATGTCGATCCCCGGCCTGGCCTCGTCGGCATCGTAGGCGTCGTCCATCACACTGTCCAGGCGAGCCTGCAAGGTCCTGATGCGGTCTCTGCTCACGTTGGCCATGGGGTCTCGATTCCGCCACCGCGCCCTGCAGCCGTTGGCGTTTTTTCGGGAGGGGGGAGCCTGCGCGCAGCACGCAGTGGACGGCGACCAGGAGCGCGGGCGCCGCGCAGATCAGCAGGCAAGCTGGCCAGCCGGGAAGAGCGCCCCACCGGTGTGTGCGCGTCGTAGGCGCGCGCTCACCGCTGCCTGCACCTCGACTTCCCGCGCCCCGTCGCCGCGCGCGGGGCCGCGACGCTGTGAAAAATGTGTGTTCGTGAGTGTGTGCGCGTGTACATCTATACATATATCTACCTAGACGACCACCCTTCGGCTGATAAGGAGGATCGGAAGGGGGAGGAACCAACGTCTCACTCGATCGGTCTCACTATCGATCTCATTATCGATCTCACCATCGGTCTCGCTCGATCGATCTCACTCGATCGATCTCACTCGATCTATTGCATTCGACCGATCTGACTATCCATCTCACAATCGACCTCACTATCGATCTCACAATCGATCTCACATTCGGTCTCACGGTCGATATCACTATCGATAGCACAATCGATCTTTCACTCAACGTCATCATCATCATCATCATCATCATCATCATCAACAACATCATCGCCATCATCGCCATCAACGTCATCAACATCATCATCATCATCATCATCATTATCATTATCATCATAATCAGCATCATCTTCATGGGGACACCATCATCACAATCACCTCATCACCATCATCGTCAACATCATCATCACCACCATCATCATCATCATCGGGACACCATCATCGTCACCATCATCATCATCATCATCATCATCACCATCATCATCGAGACACCATCATCATCATCATCATCGGAACACCACCACATTCATCATCTCATCACCATCATATTCATGAACAACATCATCAACATCATCATCCTCATCGGGGCACCATCATCATCACCAGCAACCTCATCATCATCAACATCACCATCATCGGGACACCATCATCATCGTCACCATCATCATCATCACCATCATCATCAGCATCGGGACACCATCATCATCATCATCATCATCATCCACATCATCATCACCATCATCAGGTCACCATTTTCAGAATCATCATCATCACCTCATCATCATCCTCATCATCAACATCATCATCACAATCATCGGGACACCATCATCGTCATCATCAACATCATCATCGGGACACCATTATCATCACCATCAGCATCAACAGCATCATCATCATCATCATCATCATCATCATCGTCATCATCATCATTGTGACACCATGATCACCATCATCATCTCATCATCATCTCATCATCATCATCATCATCCTCCTGATAATCATCAACATCATCATCATCATCATCATCATCATCATCATCATCGGGACAACATCATCATCATCAGCAACATCATCATCATCATCATCATCATCATCATTATCATCGGGACACCATCATCACCATCATCGCTATCATCATCAACATCGTCAACATCATCATCATCATTATCATTATCATTATCATCGACATCATCATCATCATCATCATCATTATCATCATCGGGACACCATCATCATTAATCATCCTCATCATCAACATCATCGACATCATCATCATCATCATCATCATCATCATCCTCATCCTCATCCTCATCCTCATCCTCATCCTTCTCCTCCTTCTCCTCCTCCTCCTCATCATCATCATCATCATCATCATCATCACCATCATCATCATCATCATCATCATCATCATCATCATCATCATCATCATCATCATCATCGGGACACCGACGGGACACCGGCGGGACACCGGCGGGACACCGCGGGCCACTGGCCCTTGGAAAGGAAGCATTTGGTCTGGCCGTACCTCAGCCGGAGGCGGGATACCAGCGGGATACCGCGGGCCACCGGCCCCCGGAAAGGAATCATTTGGTCCGGCCGCGCATCAGCCGGAGGAGAGTTTCTTCTCGCCCGCCCACGCAGCTTCGCCTCGCCCGCACGCACGGCACGCGCGAACACGAAACCGAAACCGATTTCCCGGTAGGGGAGCTCTTCGTTCCACTTCGATCTCACCCCCTCTCCTCCGATATAAATATATATATATATATATATATATATATATATATATATATATATATATATATGTTTATAGGTGTATATATATACATACACATCTACATACATACATACATACATATATATATATATATGTAGATATGAGGATCTGTATAGATATCTTTTTTTTCCTCTCTCTCTCTCTCTCTCTCTCTCTATATATATATAGATGTATATATCACGGGGGGGCAGGCCTGGGGCCCGAAAACAGCTGCCTCGACCCTCCATGGGAATACCGGGGCTCATTTTCCTTGTGTTTTTTACAAGATTTCCGCGTCCTGGGCCTCGGAGGCCGCCACCTCCGATCCCCCATGGGAGGACGGGGCGGCCGGGGAGGTCCAAAATAGTCCAGGAGGGCCTCCAGAGGCTCCAAAGACGGCCCAAGCGGGCCCCGAGTCGCCGAAAGACCGCTCCAGGACGCCCAAGATAGGCCCAAGACGGCCCGAGAGGCCCCCCAAGGCACTCCACGACGCTTCAAGACGCCTCTCCAGAGCGCTTCAAGAGTCCGAAATCATCAATGTTACTAAGGTTTTCGAACGATTTTGGCCTTCCAGCCTTTTCGGCTGTCCGACGTTCCAAGACGGCTCAATAGGCTCCCAAGAGCGCCCCAAGACGGCCCAAGAGGGCCCCAAGACGGCCCCAGAGTCGCCCAAGACAGCCCAACAGAGCCCCAAGACGGCCCCAAGATGCGCCCAAGAGGGGGACCACGACTCCAAAATTCGACCCTCCCGCTTGAAGAGTGCCCCAGGAGGCCCCAAGGAGCCCCCAAGAGGCCCCAGGAGGCCCCCAAGAGGCACCCAGGAGGCCCAAACGAGGCCTAAAGAGGCCACAGAACAGCCCCGAGGAGGCCCCACAAGGGTCCCAAAACGGCTACCGAGAAGCTGCGCAACTGCGTTCACGACGTCCCCGACAGGCCAACCACGAGATCCAAACCAACACCCATGAGGCCTCTGACCCACCAACCCAGGGCACGGTGGCGGGAGCAGTGACGACACTTGTGCACAGCATGTTCCGGCGGGAGCCTTCCGGAACACGCTGCAGGAGGAGGAGGAGGAGGATCAGGAGGAGAGACAGCTGGAGTGGGAGGAGGAGGGGGACGAGGAGGAGGAAGAGGCCTCCAAGACAGCTCCAAGATAGCCGAAGAGGCTTCCAAGAGGGCCCTGGGCGGCCCACGAGGGCCCCAAGGCGGTGCCTGAGGCGCCCAAGACGGCCCGAGAGGGCCCCAAGACGGCCCCAAGAGAGGCCCAAGGAGGGAAACACGAACGGAGAATCCGAGCTTTCTACCCCGAGAGGTTCTCGGGAAGTCCCAAGAGGCCCCCAATCGGATCCAAGAGGCCCCCAAGAAACTCCCAAGAGGGCCGACGAGGTTCCAAGATATCTCCCAAGGTGGCCTCAAGAGGCACAACTCATTGTTTTACGATTGGGCTTTGACGGGTTTTAATTTTTGTCGGCCTTTTGGCATCCCGATGCTCCAAGACGGCCCAAGAGGCTTCCAATACCGCTCCAGTATAAAGGAAGAGGCCTCCAAGAGGGCCCCAAGACGGCCCGCGAGGGCCCAAAGACGGTGCTTGAGGCGCCCAAGACGGCCCGAGAGGGCCCCAAGAGCCCCAAGAGAGGCCCAAGAGGGGGAACGCGACCCAACAGCAGAGCCTTCCCTTCAAAAGGCCCACATGAGGCCGCAAGAGGCCCCCAAGTGGTCTGACGAGGACCCCAAAAGCTTCCCGAGGGCCTAAAAGGCCCCTAGGAGACGTCCAAGAGGCTTTAAAATAGCCCAAGAGGGCCCTCGATGCATCAAAACTGCTTCCAGGAGGCCCCCCGGAGGCTTCCAGATTGCCTCAATCTGGCCGCAGGTGGCCTCAAGTCGGGCCTCCACGCAGCCAAGACGGCCAATGACGGTTTCAGATTGCAGAACCGATGCCCCCAAGGGACCCTCAGACGCCCCCCCAAGAAACACCCAAAAGGTGCCTCCAACAGCCAGTTGACGAAGCATGCGGAACACCCCAGAAACTCCTCAGATGCCGTCGCGCGCGTGTGCTTGATAGCGTTGTCCAAGATCGCCCAGCGCCCCCCCCGCCTGGGCTAAAACCTGAGCGCGCGCGCGAAGCGCGCGCGATGGTTCTACTGTGTGTGTGTGTGTGTTTGTGTGCGTGTGCGTTTGTGTGTGTGTTTGTGTGTGTGCTTGTGTGTGTGTCTGTGTGTTTGCGTGTGTGTGTGCGTGTGTGTGTGTGTGTGTGTGTGTGTGTGTGTGTGTGTAAGTGTGTAAGTGTGTGTGTGTGTGTGTGTGTGTGTGTGTGTGTGTGTGTGTGTGTGTGTGCGTGCGTGCGTGCGTGCGTGCGTGCGTGCGTGCGTGCGTGCGTGCGTGCGTGCGTGTGTGTGTGTGTGTGTGTGCGTGTGAACGTGCGTGTGTGCGTGCGTGTGTGTGTGTGTGTGTGTGTGTGACGTGTGCGCGTGTGTGTGTGTGTGTGTGTGACCGAGCTCTGCGCGTTGCCTCTGGGCCGTCCGAGGGCTGCGCACGCGTGTTCCGCAAGGCCGCCATAATGGCTCGGCCGCGTTGCTGCGCACGTGTGTGTGTGTGTGTGTGTGCGTGTGTGTGTGTGTGTGTGTGTGTGTGTGTGTGTGTGTGTGTGTGTGTTTGTCGATGCTACCTCAGCGGTTGCGGCCTCTGCGGCGTCCCCGCCGCCGCCGCTGGCCCTCGGGTCCCCTGGTCCTTGCCGCCCCCTTGCCGCCAATCGTCTGGCCATGGCGTCCGCGCAGCGAAGTCTCGGCCCTTCGACGCGCGTGCGGCCCGCATCTCCGATCTTGCTGCGCCCTGTCGCTGCTCGCGGGGCCACGACAGTTGAAGGGGGCTGGGAAGCCCAGCCAGCAGCTTCGCCTTCGGCGAAGCCAAGCTCTAGCTCTG